ACTCCCCCTGCTTGTGTTCCCTCTCTCCCTGTGTCTCTCTCTGTCAAATAAATAAAATCTTAAAAAAAAAAGATTTTATTTATTTGAGAAAGAGAGAGAGAAAGCAGGAGCAGGTGGAGGGGCCGAGGGAGAAGCAGGCTTCCCGCGGAGCAGGGAGCCCGATGCGGGGCTCCATCCCAGGACCCTGGGATCATGACCTGAGCCGAAGGCAGACACTTCACCGACTGAGCCACACAGGTGCCCCAAAAAACCATACTCTTGATTCATAGCCCAATAGTACTCGCCAAATGGAGTGGCTCCTCCAAAGCACCCTGTGGCCATCCTGTTATTTCACAGGCAAAGGATTGGTTTGCCCCACTGCACAAGGCGACCAGGCATCAGATGGCTAGCACCGACCGGAACACAATGTTATGTGGGCCAGATTTGTGGCCATGGCTTCCACCAGGCTGGACTGGAAGATGCACCACAGGTTATGCCTGGATGCACGGCAATAGCACTAGGACTACCCCCAGTCCAGCTAATCTTCCGTATCTAAAACGATGAGGGACAAGAGCCATGTTCCATTGGTATGAGCATCTGATGTCTATTTTTCTTCCATCAGTAGATTTAGAAGATGTCATAAGACACATGGAGGCCCTTGATAAAAACACAATTAAGGCCTTAAATGCCTCTCAAGACAGCATTACATTATTAAGCACCAACGTAACTCAAATGTTATAAAATAGAATGGCATTAGATGTCTTAGCAGAGGCACAAGGAGGATCATGTGCCATTATTACAGTGGAATGTTGTGTCTATATTCCAGATTATAAGAAAAATATAACAGGATTACTTACTGATATGAATAATTAAATTGGTGCTCTTAAAGGCCCTACATTGCCACTTAATGACTGGTTACATTCCTGGTCAGGAAGTGGACCATGGTCCATGCTAAAGGATCTTCTCATTGCTCTTATTTTCATTAAAACATTAATACTAATATATTGTCTTTCACTTTGTTCTCTCCTATTGTCCAGATACATGCGAGCAGTTCCTGACTCCCTTGCCCAGCCGACAGATGAGTCTTACTACTAGAAACTGAACTCTGTAGCAATGGCTTCTGTAATAGTTATTAACAGGGACAGATAGTGACCAATTTCCGTCCATAGGTAGGGACATCTCTATGACCCCTGTCAGCTTGGAGAAGTTACAGAAGATGAGCCCTTCACCCTTCAACAATTTTAGAGATTTAAAGACCAAAAATTGGTCAAGGGGGGAAATGATGAGGGATAGAAGGAGAAAAATGTTCACCTTTAGCCCAGTAGGCTGTTCTATAGCCTGCACAGTCTTGATAAAGATCAAATGTGTGCTGGTTGCTACATTCTGAAAGGGTCTCATGACTGCCTGTACATCTCACCAATAGTTAATATATAGGGCTGAATGATAAGCACCAGAACATCTTGGGAAAGTAGTTTAAGGAGTAGAATTTCGAAGAAAACATTCATGATCTAATACTTCCCGCATGTCCCCTCCCCCTTGAGCACTAAGCATATAACCAGCTTCATACAAGGTCCTGTCCTTGCGCTACTTAAATAAACTTACTAAGTTGTACCATACAATGTCTCAAAAATGCTATCTTGGCCTTTGCGTTCCACGATCCTGCAACAGTACATTTGTTACAAGTGATGAATCTACACTGACACATCATAATCACCCAAAATCCATAGTTAACTTCACTGGTTCACTTTTTTTTTAAAGAGAATAATTTTTATATAGATATAGTGTATTTATTGCTATGCAAAGAGATCCATATTATTATGACAGGAAATTAAAAATCTATCAGGATGAATCCAATATTTAAATAGGAAATATATATGCATAATAAAGCTGAAATGGAGCTATACCATCATGTAACAGTAGGAATCTTGGGATATTGCCAGAATCCATACATCATAAGCAAACTTTTCAGTAACTGACTTGGCGAAGATATCTGAAACTGACTGAGGACTCACTGATACTACCTTGTTTTTTCAATCATGTTTAATATTTTACTATAATTTACTGCATAAGAGCCTAATACCTGAAGGTACTGGCAATACACAGTATGCCAAGGCTCATTTTTTTTTAAAGGTTTTATTTATTTATTTGACAGAGACACAGCGAGAGAGGGAACACAAGCAGGGGGAGTGGGAGAGGGAGAAGCAGGCTTCCCGCGGAGCAGGGAGCCCGATGCGG